TCTTAAGAGATTTTGGCTAGAGAGGGGCTACAAACATTTTCCATATCAAGAGTGAGCTCTTTGACAAATGTGAAACTTAGAAAGTTGCAAAGAGTTCATTAGATTACAATACGACAACAACTTGCACATCTTGCTTCAAATCCCTATACAAGAAATTTTCTATAGATGATCTCCGGTTTGACCCGACTTTATGTATTTTCGACTCGGGGTTTAATATTTTTCATATGTTGTTTACCTCTTTCCTCCCTCTATCTCTTTGAAATTGGCCTTTGGTTGTGTGTTGCATTTGGAAACAGTGTTACTTGTTTCCAAACCTTGTTATCCAGATTTTTGGTTCTCTGCTAGAGCGACCATTCTTGCGCTCAAGCGGGCTATGGCATTTTTGTCCTCCGCTCAAGCGGCTTTCTCGCGTTTTGAGCGGAGATTGAAACTCTCAGTACTTTGCACATCTTACAAAGTACTGAGGGGTGTCTTCACGCTCGATCGGTGTTTTCTACGCTCGAGCGTGGGCACCGAGCAACTTTCTTGAGCTCGAGTGGTTTGTTTGTTGTCTGCAAAAATACTGGAAGTGTGTATTCTACGCTCGAGCGGGTATCTTATTGTGCTCAAACGGAACAACTATTGTGGTGACGTTCAAGCGTCAACTCTTCGCTTGAGCGGACTGTGGTATATCAGATGTAAAATGACTTTTTACATCACATTTTTATCTTTTTCATTCAAATCCTATAGTTGAGAGCCTCTCTCTCTAAAATACTCTCTCTCTACATTTTACCTAGATCTATTGATTTCTCACCCTTCTCTCTTTGATAAAAAGATGAGAACTTTCTCAAGATCTTCCATTTGACCGATGAATCAGATTTCGACATTTTGAGTTCGCTCCTTACTTGGCTCATCTTTTCTCTTTGAGATAGGATTTCTTCAACTCTCATATGATATTTAGCCTAGTTTTGTCTCTTGTGTAACAATGGTGTGACTTGGGGTGATTTGATAAACTAGGTTGGTATGAATGAAAAAAAGGGTTTCCAGTGGGTTATATAATTGATCATGGGTTTAGTTATGAGACTATCTTGTATTAAAATAATTGTTTTAGCCTTGGGTCAATACTTGAAAAATGGGGAGTTTTGCCCTAAAATATTTGGAATAATTATTTTGTATAAATAATGAAATCGGTGTCATAAATGTAAAATTGGGTAAAGGTATAAATGAGAGTTAGTTGGTTTGTTAATCACTCATTATGAGAAAATTGATGATTTATCTGTGTTGAGATTGATATACTGTTTAGGAATATTGTATTGGAGCTATCGGAAGGATACTATGATTGTTATAGAAATTGCATGTGGATTAGGTGAACTGAAAATAATCTCTTGTTGGTTGTCATTGAATATGACTATGTTTATATATATTGTATACATTGATGTCTGGGAGAACAAAGGGATGGACTCCATATAATTAAGTTGGTCAGAGTGTCTGGTGAAAGTCTCAAAATTTATAATGGTGCCGATTCACGGACAAAATATCTGTAAAATGGCAAATTAATATTGCATGGGTGTCGATCCCGCGGACGAATATCTGTAAAATGACAGATTGAGTGTGTATTTGTATTTATATGATCTGAAAAACTATGAGTTGTTAGTTCTTAGTTGGTTGTAAAAGATAATGTACTGACTCAGTATTGAGAAGATTAAATGAACTGAAATAGATTGAAGGAAAATAGATTAAGATTTGAATATGATATCTTTGAGTATGTGAATTTGTGAAGTTTTTCACAGACATTGATATGCATATTGTACTCATACCTTTACTATTAAATTCATATACTGTCGTTAGATGATTTCTATTGGGTTGTGACTCACCCTATTTGCTAATTTTAATTGCTCCTTCCTTTATTTTGAATTAGTTGTACGATGATGCCAGAGAGGTTTTACACCCTTGAACTTGGCTGCTAATTTATGAGTTCACTGCTTTACCCCCCCCCCCCCCCCAAAAAAAAAACAATGTGTATGCATGAACAAAATTAAACTCAGTTTGTGTTCCTAGCATTGAGGTTGATATTGTTTCCTACCTATAATACTACAATAAACTATTGGGTAGTTGTAGACACCCCATTTTTGACCGACCTTAGACTCAGACATCACCGGTTGAGTCACTCGGTGACTATTGCATGTTTGCTTGTCAGAAAAGTTTTCGGAGTTACGGCTCGTGAGCCCTGTCCCCGGACTGCCCGAGAACCCTTTTTGTGCCTTGGCTCGGTTTGCGAACCAGACTCGATTTCTCTCTGTTGCTTTTCCTGAGGGGAAGGAGAGGTCCCTAGACCATCTCTCAATGCCATCCGTAGGCCACATTTGGTGGCCGTAGGCCCATTTTACCATGTTCGGAGTCCGTCCCGTTTTCGGAGCCGTCAGGCCCGTTGTGCCTCGTTCGGACCGCTGTAACCATCTCCGTTTGCTCCTGGTTTTTTGTCGCCATACTTCCCTATTTGCTCCTTTTAAGGGACACTGGGGTACTGAGAAACCCAGCTTCGAGGTCGAATGCACTTTCGGTGCTAACAGCCATTGGGACCCCAAACTGCTTTTTGGCCCGGAACATTCGTTTTGCACGGTTTTTTGCTCATTTTTGGCAGGTACCTCTTTTTATCACGAGGAAGGTCACTGGAAGGGTGGCGAGGCCAGCAATTGTTGCAGCAGCCAGTTATCTCTCCTCCGGAGCCTCCCGCCGTGTATCGGGTTTTTTCGCCACTTCCGGGCTATGTGAATAACCTTGAGCTAGTGTTGGCCAACTTTCAACCCAATCTGTGACTCTAATACTCTGGGAGGCCCTAAAAGTTGGTGGCCGGCCATTAGTCATTGACCCTTTTAGACCCCTTCTTCCGGGCTAATGTTGAACCCCTTGGACCTTTTTTCTCGGACTCTTGGAACCACATATCTGTGATGACACAACCTAGAGAGGCCCCTAAAAGTTCATGGCCGGCCAGTATTCAAATTGACCCTTTTGACCCCCTCTTTCCACCAGTTGAACCCCTTGGACCCACTTTTCAGACTTTTAACCACATGGTTGTGTTGTACAACATAGGGTACCTCCCAGTAGCTGGCCCGGCCAGAAAATCTTCATTGGACCTTTTGACCCCTAGACGGCCGGCTAGGTAGGTGTGGCCGCCGGCCACCTCCAACAAAAGTGAGAGGCCGGCCGTTTCCTCTTCACTGTGCCCACTTTACAGCTGGGGGCCATATCCCCCAGATATTTTCTGTATTCCGGGGGATATTGTGGGGAGTTTTACCTCCTTTTTCCCCCACCTTTACACCCCCTTTTGGACCTTATAACCAGCTGGTGGCCTTCTTTGTTGGTTAGAAGAACTCTCTTCAAGCTTCCATAGCAAACTCCGATCTTCTTCCTTCTTCCAATTCTTCAAAACCCTAAGTCCACTAACCTTCATTCCTTCTACACACCAAGCTCTACCACCACCATCTCATTTCAGCAACAAGGAAGGATTGCTTGAAGGCTAAAGGAAGCTGCAAATCCATCCAAGAAGCAACAAAAGTTTGAATCTTAAGGGTAAGTACGATTTTACCTTTGAACCTTTTTCTTGTTCTATTTCTAAGCCATGCTTTCAACAGGTTTCAAGCTCCGGCCCTAACTGAAAAGGGCCATATTTTGAGCTCATCTTCACTTCTCATTAAGGGCTCAACCCTGTTTGAGCCCTCCATCACACACTTGTTTCATTGACCCTCTTGTATGTCATAGTTTTGCATGCTATTTTTGACCCATGAGCAATTTATTTTCGAGCATGTTGTAAACTGATATGAGGCTTATTTTGAGCCTCTCTTCAACATTGAAGAAGGGCTCAACACCATTTGGGACTTTCATGTTATACCTACCCTTATACTCCTCTTTTCTTCCCCATTCTTGCATGCAATGGTAGCCTACCATGCTTAGGTTTTTGGCCATTTTACAGTTCTGAAAAAGTGTTTATTTTAGTCCATTCTTCATGTTTTGTTTAGGGTCTTTCATGGTTTGAGACCTCCATAAGCCACTTCATGTTATATCTCACTTTTGGTTCGTTTTCTTGCATGTTTAGTTAGCCTACCATGCTTTTGTTTTCAGCCATTTTACAGGCCTAGAGATAGTCTTATTTTGGCCTATACTCCATGTTTCATTCACACTTTTTTTCTGTTTGGTGATTATTTGGTATACTTCATGTTTTAGCACCTTTTGAGCCTCATTTTGCATCACATTTTTAGCATATTTGTATACTGATTTTGAGGCTTCCATATACTGTAAATGTTCATGTTTTTGGTCCATATTCAGTGTTGTAGAAGGAAATTTTTCAGTTTGGGTTTTTCTTATATCACTTGCTTCAATAACCCTCGAAAATACCGTTTTCATGCATGCCATTTTTGCCCTATCTATGCTTGCTGTTCGGCCTTGTTTACAACTGTGAAAGTGCATATTTTGGGACTGTCTAGCTTCTGTCTTTGCATTGCATGTCCATATTGTGCATGTTTAGCATAGCTATAGGCCATTTCGGGTGCCTAATGTTGCATTTCGGGACATTTCCTTGCATTTCATGTCATTTCGTTTCATTTCGGGACTGTTTTCCCCCATATTTTGTTGCTGAAATTCCATTAGCATGCTTGCATATCATTTCCATGTCATTTGCATTGCATTTGTCACCGCCTCGGTTTGCGTGCCCGTGTGCACGCATTTCGAGGCACTTCATTTTCATCCGCCGGCGTCCCATGTGAGTGTGGCTGAGGCTCACTCATGTTGGTATAAGCCCATTTGTCATTTCCATGTCATTTGCGTTGCATTTGTCATCGCCTCGGTTTGCGTGCCCGAGTGCACGCATTTCGAGGCACTTTATTTTCATCTACCGGCATCCCATGTGAGTGTGGCTGAGGCTCACTCATGTTGGTATAAGTCCATATCATGTTTTCATGTCATTTCATCATATTTTGCCATCGCCTCGGTTTGCGTGCCCGCGTGCACGCATTTCGAGACACGCATCATCGCTTCTTGTTTAAGGAATTCACTTCCATCACTGCCCTAGTAACGGAAAGTTCACCAAGTAATAAGTCGACAACCTGCTCATAATTTATCTCAAAATTAAAAGAGCAATAATATACAAATAAAAAAAATTATAAAGAAACTCTAATCAAAATATCATTTCAAATAAAAAAAGACTCGTCAAGGTGACTATTATTATCACATCATTCAAGTTTAATATTTGTATTAAAAAATTTATGGACACAAAAGGGTAAAAGGGAAAGACTTGCCTCGTACTGTTTTCCCGAGATAGCTAGGTGCAAGATGGTGTTGCCATGTTCATCCTTCATATTCAAAACACCCTCTTTCTTGAATTCCTTGATATGTTCCACCAACACTCTCAACCCTTCAATTTGATTCTTCTTGACTGCAAGGTGAAGGGCAGTCTCTCCCCGAACAGTGACGTGTTCAACAGAATCCGGGCTAGCAGCGAGCAATTCCTTCATAACATGAATTCTACCCTTGATCACCGCGTAGTGGAGGGGTATCCTCTTCTCTCTTCCCCTCACCGCACACATATCACGATCCACTCTCAAGAGCTCTTTAACAATCTCTAGATACCCATTTGCCGAGGCAATATGGAGGGGACTAAAACCGTCTTGGTTGAGCTCCGTGGCGAATTCTGGCTTCAATTTTAGTATTTGTTGTACAAAATTGAGGTGGCCAGCCATGGAAGCAATGTGTAATGGAGTCTCTTCCTCTGCTAATGAAACAGAGTGTAGAATTAGGGGATCATATTTGATCAAATTGAACAAAAGGTCAACATTACCCATCTGGGCAGCTTCAATTAACCTTCTATCCATTATTGTACAGGAACTTAGCAACAACAATGGAAGATTTAACCGTAGAAAAAACGAACCTATTGGTAAAGATATAGATACGGAAGATGTGATGAGATTTTTCCTGATATTTTTTATAATTTTTTTTTTGGATTAATTTGACTTTATACCTTATGGGTTCTTTGAATAATGCAATGGGGGTGATGTGGTATTAATGAGATGAAGGTTTGATAGAGCCCTTTTGACCAATTAGAGAAATGGATGAGAATAAAAATGATCCAATTGTAGACTTTTTCGTGTTGAATAAAAATTTCCAATTGTAGACTCACTTTCCTTACGAAAATCAAGTGGCATTATTTGCATATTGTTTTAAATTAATCACAGTAAAACATGTCAACTCACTTAATAACAACTCACTTTTATTAAGTTAAGATGTAAAAAATGACTTATTTAATTTATATTTCTATTTCTATTTTTTTATATTATTCTTATCTAATAATTTTGCGATTCATATTTTCATCATGAGTGAGTGAGAGAATTTAAGAAATCACTTCAGAGTTTGTACCTTTGATTATCAACAAAATTGTCTCTTTCACATTTCCCACGGTGGGGTTAAAAATGGGTCCAACTTATCTCTAATTGGAGATTAAGACTGGACCGTCCAATTATCTTTGTGAACTCACTTTTAGGTCTCGTTTCGATAACTCAAACTGTTCATATTTTAAGATTCGTTGAATACATTATCCCTGAAAAAAAAAAAATCGATTGGATAATGGCAACTACATGTTCGAATCCGTTTTTTGTGAATCATTTATTTTTTCACCATCCATTTTTTTTATACAAAATTGATTCGAACACGTAATTATCGTTATGCGATCAACTTGATTTTTTACAGGAATAATATACTCAACGAACTCTAAAATATAAACGATTCAGATTATCGAAACGGGACCTAAAAGTGAGTCCACAATGCAAACTGGACGGTCCAATCTTAACCTCCAACTGGAGACAAGCTGGACCCTTAAAAAATTATCGACATAACCCAAAAAAAAATTAATAGGTTCAATATAACGCTTAAAAATTTACACATTATTCTCTTCTTACATGAAAGTGGACTTCACATATATATATTTATATATCTTTACTCAGTTGAAGCCATAGGAATTATTCTCTTCACATAAGATTGAAGGATATAAAAAATTATGCTGTGGTCCTTAGGCAAGTTTGTGTGATGTTCTAATTTGTTTTTTATTGGTTGAAATAGCATGATCAATTTTGTGTTAGTTTTTGGGAGACAAAAAGACGAGTGACACCATATGTAGTGTAGAACATTACCCTAACTTAGCTAAAGATAGAATTTGTGATGTCCTAGTGTCACACATCGGGAATGGAAGGGGAGTTCCTGGGTTATAAAAGTAAAAACTTGGACCCTTATATACTATTGAGGCCTTTTCTCAGGTGGTGAAATCCCTAACAGAACTCCCCAGTTAAGCGTGCTTAGGCTAGAGTAGTTTTGGTATGGGTAAACCACTAAGAAGAACAAATCCGTGTAAGCATGGCCCAAAACGGACAATATCGATGATATGTAATGGGTTGGGGCGTTACAAATTGCATATCTACTATCTTGGCTAGACTATTGTAAGTAAGAACGTGTTTTGAGATCATCCTAGAAAAAATGTTAACAAGCCTAAAAAAGTTGTGTTTCAATTTGGGGCTTGTAATTTTTATTGTGACAATTTGTCCTTTAGTTCTTCAATTTTTGTATAATTTAGTCTAAAAAAATTGTGGTCCAATTTGGGGCTTGTAATTTTTATTGTGACAATTTGTCCTTTAGTTCTTCAATTTGTGTATAATTTATCCAATTGGAAAAGACCTTTAAGTATGGTTTTCATGAAAAATTATCATGTGTTGCTCATAGTCACTTTAGCGAGACATTTTATACATTATATCTTATCTTCCTAAGTTTTTTTTTTTTTTTTTTTTTTTGAGTACCCCCTTCCTGAGTTTTCTAATGGCATTTTAGTTTTACCCCTCCCATTGAGGTCGTTGAGGGAATCTTATTGACATCATCAGCACAAAAATGAAAATGGATAGGGCTATGCAAAATAATGTCTAACCTGCCCAAACAGCCCTGATAGGATCTGCCCGCGCAATTTGGAAGGATTAGCAATGCGAGTTGGGCAGGTTGAAATATTTTTTAAGATGGGTCGATTTAAGTGTGGTTAAAAAAATCTATAGTCAGCCATTAAATCAAACAAACACACCATACTTCATATGAAATATGTAAATAAATTCTTAAAAGAAAAAACCAATCTAAAATCACTCTTCATCTCTCGTCTCCTCAGTACACAAAACCTCTCCTCTTTCATCACCAACTCCAACTTCCGATTAAATGTTTGGTGATGTGGTGTGGCTGAAGGGGATGATGGCTTGGTACTTATAGTGTGGTTGTGATCAAGTGAGGCACTAGTGGTGGGTGCAGAGTTGGGGTTCAATTGGTTTAATTGTAGCAGCAACATAGTGTTGGGTTTTGGTTTTGGGAGGTGTAGAAAATTTAATGTATAAAGAGAAATAGAGAATTGTATAGATATTGATTGTATTATTGATTGATGTATGTTGATATATTACAATGATTCCTATATATAGAAGAGAGGATGTGGGAAGAGAATAGGTGAGTGTGTAGTAGGTGAGGAGTAGGTGGAGAGTAGGTGAAGTAGGTGAGTGTGTAGTAGGTGGTAGTGGTAGGTGTGTAGTAGGTGAATTTTAACAGCCCCCGCAAACTCAAGGGGGATAGGAACTAACCAACTTGAGTTTGGAGAGAGTAACAAAACAAGAAAATACATAAAAATAAAAGAGGATAGGAGACACTGTATGGTCGTGTCAGACCATTGGTGAAGACACTGGATGGTGGTGTCATAACGTTGTAGAGGACACTGTATGGTGGTGTCAGACCGATGTAGAAGACAGTTTATGGGGTCATGTCGGACCGTTGTAGAAGACAAACAATCTTTTTAATCAATATCCTTAGCTCGGTCTTCTCCTCCAACTCTTTACTTCGGCAGCCCTGTTCAACCTTGATGTGCTTAATTCAAACTTCCAAGTAACAAGTTCTGACCGACCTAACCATTGTAAGTCACGACCGGACTAATTCCGACACCGGCCTTCCCAGAACATGCTGTGACCGGACTAACTCTGAGACCGGCCTAACTGTGAGTTGTCTTCAGACCGGAGTAATTTTACTCTTCCTTGGGCCGAAGTAACGATCTCTTCTTGGGCCGGAGTAATTTCACCTCCTTGGGCCGAAGTAACTATTGCGGCCTTCTTACCTAGTCCTTCGCGTTTTGGGCCTCAATGCCCAACTCTCAGCTCGGCCCAATTTTTCCCAAAAATTACCCTCTCAATTGCCCCTTAATTCCATCTGTGCAACATGATTGGGATTACCAGCCTTTTGGCCGAGCCAGAGTTTGTTACGCTTTTTCAGCCAAGCTAAAAAACCCTTTTAGCCTTTCCAGCCGAACTAAGTTTACCTCGGGTATCACTATGTCCGGTCAAAACGTCTCTTCAATTATAGTCTGTAACGCTTCCCATTCCAGTGACACGTGGCAGGCTCTGATTGGCTAAGGACGGCTGTCACGCCGTCTTCGTGTTTTGAGATCTTGAGACAGTTCCCGCCCAAATTTTGGGTTTTCTAACAAAAGTGAACCCTGAGGCTAGGGTATCTTCACTTTTACCACCCTTCATACTCTTTCTCTGCTTTTTTTGGCTGCTCGAGTTCTTGAGCTTTGAGCTTACTGTGTTCGTGCTTCCGTTGCTGCTACTGCTCCATCTTCAACTTCTTCTTCTCCTGAACCACACTCAATGAATCTGCTCCACAGTTCATTTTAGGAGTACTTATGTGTAGGTCCTAATAAGTAGACTTATTGACTAATAGGTCCTATGGAAAAGAAATTTCATTAAAAAAGTCACTAGTTGTAAGTTTTAGCGACAAATTATAAAAATCTTGATAAAAAAAAAGTCACTAATTGTTAATTTTTAACGATACATATAAAAAATTGTCATTATTTTTAACAACAATTTTATCCAGATTTATTTTCAATAAGACTTGATGGGAATTAAGTCCAACTATTAGAACCTATTGGTAGTTTACCCTTCATTTTTATTATTTTTCAAAATAATTTTTGTAGCTCGGTTGCATTGTTGTTTTTGAAACTATTGTTGGCATATGGTTTGAAACAAAAAAAAAACTTGGAATGATAATAGAGAAATTTATCTTATTTGCTTCAATTGTTTATTTATTATAGATGTTCACCAAATAAGCTTCCAGGCCTATGAAAATAACAAGCGAGGAATACTCACAAACACTTAATTTCATAAAAACAAAGAGAAAAGAAGTAGAACAACATGCCTCTAATTCAAGCACTTTGTAGGCTTGTACATTGCAATGCAACTCTTGGCCATTTGAGGTAGTTCCTTGCCACCATGGTTGCAATAGGTATCACTAATGGCAAGGCAATGGAAACAACAGTAAATAACACAGACAAGACATTATTAGCTGTCACGAAAGTCATAGAAGTGTCATATGTTATTATGAGCGCACACATTGAAACTTGCAACTCCAATTGCAAAGGGAATCCACTTGTGAGAACATAGATCATGCTGAGAGAGGTGAAGAACCCTACTGAGTTGAAAAAGATAAACAAGCCAAACGAGACCATATTCTTTGAACCTATGACTGCTTGTCCAGCAATATGTGGTTTGGCAGTATCTGTCCCATTGTTGTTACTGGACAGAGAATCATCTTGCCAAACACCACCTGGAGGGCTAAGCACGGCTTGATATGTTGCGGTGGCAATAAGTATAGCTATCACAAGCATGGTGTTTCGTGCCTCGCTCGGCGAATCTCTAATCTTGTTGTATTTGAAATACTCTAGCAACTATCTAGCTGGAGATCAAGTCCGTTCAATTGGCATTAATGGGTCATTTGATGGGTGTGGGTGTTGATTTCCGACCACATAACCAAACGAGGAACTCAGCTGGAGAGCACCGCCAGAATAGATTAAGCCCGAACACCAGCCAACAAGAATATGAGAACACCGCGGTGGTTCGTTCACTCGGGGGCCCTCCGACTATCAAGTTAGTAATCTATCTCTCTCAAAGATAACAAATAGTGCTTAACGCACTAGACAGAACACAAAAAGCATACCTTAGACCCATAGGGGTGCCTCACTTTTATAGTGGTCAGTGTCCAACTTCCCTTAGAAGTCTTACTTCATGAGACTCTATCTTTTACAAGGATAACATCTATCACAACTCGCACTATTCAGATTAAGATGAATTTTCTCAAGAGTTCCATCTCTATCCAAATAGGTAGTTTGATGTCATCTAGGACTCTAGTTCTCCATCAAAATATCTTAGATTCTGGTATTATTGCACTATATCTCGGAGTCATGGTCCGCCCACGTGGTACCGTGGCTAACAACCTCGGCCACGTGGACTACCCAAAAATATGTCCCCACAACTGCCCCCTAGGTTCTATTACCTTGGCAAACTGAGGTGATGGAACCTATACATGTACTCCTCGTGATGGAACCTATACATGTACTCCTCCGACCGAGATCGTGACTTGTCGGCGCCAAGAAATAAAGACTCATATGTCCACTCGTCAAGAATCAAGAGTTAAGAACCATCATGTTCTATCTCATCCAGGTCTAACATCTCAGCAGAGATCACATTACTAGCAGTGATCATGACTTGCTACTTCAAGAACATCAAGATCCTAGTATCATGTCATCAGAAACCAAAAATAAACAAGTTCTGACGTCATCCAATTTCAACATCTCAACCGAGATCAATATCTCAACTAAGATCGCACTTCTCAATCATGATCATCATCAGATTGGAGCATACCAATCACGTCCTCATTGTGTCGTATCAGTTCTGCCCCCGGCCGCTTGATGTCAGCGCGGGCACGTCGGGAATCGAAATCATAACTTTTTGCCATCTTTTTCCAATTCTAGCAAAACCTTTTCATTTTCTCATTTCGTGTCTACTTATTCCTTTAGACTCTCTTTCTCTTGGCCTCTGCAAACCATCATTGTTGTTCTTGAAATATTCATTCCTATTACAACTCTGGTCACCACTTCTGGTGTGCACTCAGCAGTTCTGTTCTAATCATAACTTTGTTTGACTCTGGCGAATCCCTTTCTGGCATTTACTTCTTCGGCTTCACTTTGTAAGTCCTTGATTTCTTTTATTTTAACTTCAGTTCTCCACTGTTTTCAAATATATTCCTTTTGTGGATTGTTACACATCACACACGGTATCTGTATCTGCATCTACATTGCCATCTTGTATTCATATTCGAATCCCATTGTTCTACATGCCTTTGCTTGCTTTGACTCATATTTTGTCCTTCATGTACTTGAGCCCATCTTCACATTTTTTCTATATTTGACACATATCTTCTAGCACACTGTCATCAAATTCTATCAATTTTGTTCATTCCCTGAATCTATCAATGCTCTATTTTTCTCGTGTTCTTGAGTCTTTGATCACTGTTTTATACTGTCTGTTCTTGCTTGTTAGTAGATTACTGCCTCTAAATCCTGTATATTTTCATAGACGTAGGTTTGGGATTTGCTAGAATCCACACTTAAGAAAACTAAAACAAAATTTTTCCCCAAACCTTCCTTAGAACCCTAAAACTGATAACCCAACAGTCCTTAGGGTTTCGTCGAGGTCTTTAACCCACATAGTCTAACTTTCCTTGCCAAATTCACCCTAGCCGAGGTCATGGGGATGTTCATATGGAGGGTAAACTTCTCCAATAAACTAGAATACTTCCGTCAAGAATTCTTCATTCCAACTGACGTTCATCTAAGGTTGGCTAGAGGAGGATTCCATGATGCCTGGAGAGACCTGTATGCCCTTTCCTATAGTATATATCATTTGAGGGTGGAGTCAGATTCCATCTTGATATCTTGTTTTGCTTTGGGCCGAGGTGCCTTCTTTTGTATCTGAACAAGTTGTCTTTTTGAATGCAAGTCCTCTTTTTGACTAAGTGTTCAACGCTTGTCTCTGTCTTTACTATCTTGTATGATTCCATACTTAGAATATTTTTGTATTTCTCCCAAGTATACTTTAACTGTGTAATCACTTTGGGTTAGAACACATCTGACACGTACCACCTCAGATCGACTTCATCTTGGGTACACCCTTAGTTGGCCACCTCGAACCAACTTACCTCGGAGTTCACCTTTTACTGTGATCTTGGCCAATGGGCATTTTATAAAAATTCTTTAAACAACATTAAACAAGTATTGTTTCCTTACTTGTACTTACTGCCTTCCAGTATTTCCAGGTTTGACGAACTGGTTGGCGATCTCGGGTAACCAACAACTCGAGTGTCCCCTCATCTGGATACCTCGGCTGACTCCAACTTGTAAAAAATTTCAACAAGTGTTAAGCATATTCCTTATTCCTATTTCCTGCCCCCTAATGTGAACCCAAGTGTCACTTATGTTCACGTTAAGCATGCATCTTCAATTTCGCCGAAGTCTGATTCAAACAAAAACTAGTTGAGGTGTTCAACCTTGGTTTCTCTAAAGCAAACTTAGTTCCATTCTGAGTTTAACTCTGCCGACATGGAAAGTCTAGGTGAATTCAACATAGTTCAACTCTATTATATGCAAGTATAATTCAACTGCCATATAAAAAGTTTAAGTTACTCGTCATGTTTCATTCAGAAATATCGCCAACTTAGTTCAACTCTATTATATGCAAGTATAATTCAACTCTACCATATAATAAGTCTAAGTTTCTCGTCATGTTTCATTCAGAAACATCGCCAACTTAGTTCAACTCTATTATATGCAAGTATAATTCAACTCTGCCATTTAATAAGTATAAGTTACTCGTCATGTTTCATTCAGAAACATCGCCAACTTAGTTCAACTATATTATATGCAAGTATAATTCAACTCTACCATATAATAAGTCTAAGTTATTCGTCATGTTTCATTCAGAAACATCGTCATAGGACTGGTTGGTCCTATCGCACAGATTTCAAATTCATAAAAATCAAACTAGCAATTTATTATTACTTCAGCCGATATGCCTCATTGCCGGCAACCGAGATGATTCTATTTGGGCCAAGTTTGGCCTCCCTATGATCTTTCTTATTACCGACAACTTTTCTCAGGATAAGGTCCCTAACCTTGAACTCTCTTGGACTGACCTTCTTATTGTAAGCCCTAGCAAGTTGTTGCTAGTATGCCCCCAGCCGAATTGTTGTTCTTTCGCACGTTGCAGGTGGATTTCAACAACATTTTCACGTTTTTTTACATAGGCTTCAGCTTCCTTTTGCATGTAAGGCCAAAAGAATCCCTGCGATATTGCTCTATGGGCAAGGGATCTACCCCCTGCATGGCTTTCACATATTTCTTTTTGGACCTTATATAAAAAGTCTTTAACCTGGGAAGGATGTACACATCGTAACAGAGGTCTAGTGAAAACCCTTCGGTATAGATGGCCTTCTGCCGACAGGCAAAACCTGGTCGACTTTAGTCTGAACTTGTGTGCTTTCTTTTTATCTTCAAGGGTTTGAGATCTGCATACTTAGGCTGAGCTCTTCTCTTCTCGGACTTAATCTTCTAGGCCGAGATCTTGTCTTCTGGAATCTGGGATCTGCTCACTTTAGGTTGAGCTCTTCTTTTCTCGGACCTAATCATCTAGGCTTAGATCTTGTCTTCTGGAATCTTAGATCTGCTCACTCAAGCTGAGCTCTTCTCTTCATGGACCTAATCATCTAGGCCAAGATCGTGTCTTCTGGAATCTTGGATCTACTCACTCAGGCTGAGCTCTTGTCTTCTTGACCTAATCACCTAAGCCGAGATCTTGTCTCTTGGAATCTTGGATCTACTCACTCAGGCTAAGCTTTTCTCTTCTCGGACCTAATCATCTAAGCCGAGATCTTGTCTTCTAGGATTTGGAATCTAGGATCTGCTCACTTCGGTTGAGCTCTTGTCTTCTCGGACCTAATCATCTAGGCCGAGATCATGTCTTATAGGATCTGGGATCCAGGATCTGGGATCCGTGATCTGCTCACTTCAGCTGAGCTCTTGTCTTCTCGGACCTAATCATCTAGGCTGAGATCATGTCTTATGGGATCTGGGATCCAGGATCTGGAATCCGAGATCTGCTCACTTTAGCTGAGCTCTTGTCTCCTCGGACCTAATCATCTAGGCCGAGATCATGTCTTCTGGGCACTTGTTTTGGTTGTTGGTGCCGACATGTCCTGTAATGGGGATGTTCGGTTGCATCACGTTGTTCTACATCATGAGGTTGACCACTGTCTGTAAATCTGTCAACATACTTGACATGTTTTTAGTTTCCTCGTCTTTTCTCCGGCATCTGACCCTCCTTACCTAAAAGTCCCTTTCACAGTAGTACTCATCTCGGCTTCTCTTCTTGTTCCCTTCCCGGCCTTTGGCGACATAATTCCCCTCAGGATTCACTTCTTGCACTTTTCCGTTATAGTCCCTTCCTTCAGTGTTAGGATCAACATGCTACTCCTCTTTACTGTGGATGTTATCCCCAATCCTCACTTCCTGTTCGTTGTTAGCCATCTATCCTTACTAAGTTCCCACAGACAGCGCCAAATTGTGGGTGTTGATTTCCGACCACACAACCAAACGAGGAACTCAGCTGGAGAGCACTAACAGAATAGATTAAGCCCGAACATCTGCCAACAAGAATATGAGAATATCGCCGTGGTTCGTCCACCCGAGGGCACTCTGACGATCAAGTCAGTAATCTGTCTCTCTCAAAGATAACAAATAGTGTTTAACTCTCTAGACAAAACATAAAAAGCATACCTTAGACCCATGGGGGTACCTCACTTTTATAGTGGTCAGTGTCCAACTTCCCCTAGAAGTCTTACTTCATGGGACTCTGTCCTTTACAAGGATAACATCTATCACAACTCACACTATTCAGATTAAGATGAACTTTCTCAAGAGTTCCATCTCTATCCAAATAGGTAGTTTGATGTCATCTAGGACTCTAGTCCTCCATCCAAATATCTCAGATTCTAGTATTATTGCACTATATATTGGCATCATGGTCCGCCCACGTGGTACCTCGGCTAACAACCTTGGCCACGTGGAATACCCAAAAATATGTCCCCACAATTAGTTGTAACACCCTGATTTTGGCTAGTTAATGCTAGTGCCGATGTGTGCAAGTCTCTAGCTCTCTTAGCACCAGCTTGCCTAAGAACATCTTCAATCTCTCTATCGCTCGCTTCACTTTGGAAAATTAGTAAAACATCAAGAGCCGCGAGGCTATTCTTGTTTAAGGAATTTACTTCCACCACTACCCTAGTAACGAAATGTTCGCCAAGTAATAAATCGACAACCTGTTCATAATTTATCTCATAAGTAAAAGAGCAATAATATACAAATAAAAAATATTATAAAGAAACTCTATTTAAAATGTCATTTTAAATATATATATATAAAAAAAAAGACTTGTCAAGGTGATTATTATCTGAAATATATCATTACTACATCATTCAGGTTTAATATTTGTATTGAAAAATTTCTCGACACAAGAGGGTATAAAGGGAAACACATGCCACGTATTGTTTTCTCGAGATAGCTAGGTGCAAGATGGTGTTGACATGCTATCCTTCATATTCAAAACACCCACTTTCTTGAAATCCTTGATATGTTCCACCAACACTCTCAACCCTTCAATTTGATTCTTCTTGACTGCAAGGTGAAGGGCAGTCTCTCCCCGAACCGTGACGTGTTCAACAGAATCCGGGCTAGCAGCGAGCAATTCCTTCATAACATGAATTCTACCCTTGATCACCGCGTAGTGGAGGGGTATCCTCTTCTCTCTTCCCCTCACCGCACACATATCACGATCCACTTTCAAGAGCTCTTTAACAATCTCTAGATACCCATTTGCCGAGGCAATATGGAGGGGACTAAAACCGTCTTGGTTGAGCTCCGTGGCAAATTCTGGCCTCAATGTTAGTATTTGTTGTACAAAATTGAGGTGGCCAGCCATGGAAGCAATGTGTAATGGAGTCTCTCCCTCTGCTAATGAAGCAGAGTGTAGAATTAGGGAATCATATTTGATCAAATTGAGCAAAAGGTCAACATTACCCATCTGGGCAGCCTCAATTAACCTTCTATCCATTCTTGTACAAGAACTTACAACAACAATGGAAGATTTAAGTGTAGAAAAAAGAACCTACTGGTAAAGATATAGATAGGGAAGATGATATGAGATTTTTTCAGATATTTTTTATATGGTTTTTTTTTTTTTTGGGATTGATTTGACTTTTTACCTTATGGTATTGGAATGAAATGGTAACATGTTTCGGAAGCTGTTCCATAACATAAATGCTAAGGTGTTAGCGTTTTCTTGTATCACTAGTTCTAGATAAAGATTAAAAACGATTGGTAAAGTATACCATTGGATAAGATCTTTTCAGTGTAATAAAGAATTTATTGAAATAGTGGACACGGAAAAATAAACCACATATAAATCATAATAAAAATAAAAATAGAGGCTTAACGATTTAACGTGGAAAACCTTGAAGAAAACTTTCTTCAAGGAAAAAGCCATGAGCATACCCAACCAAACAAAATCTACTATGAATGTAAGATATATAAGACTCAGCATGAGAGAGCTTACAAACCCAACTCGTTAGTCTTTCACAAAGCTTCTCACTTGCTTTCCGCTCCTGCTCTTGATTCACTAGTGCTCCATAGAACTCATTCCAAGTTCCACTCCTTGCGGCTCTGTTACACAATGGCCTGCGGATGGGTATGCAGTGCAATTGTGGTGGGTTATTTAATAAAAATTTCAAACATGAAATTCCATCACAAAAATTAAAAAAACTGAAGCTCTAGTTTATTGAATGAGAAAAACAGGTTTCAACAGGTAGATGAATTGCCAACATTAGTAGAGTTTTCTCTTTCAAAAGTGGGTGGAAGTTTGCGCATGAAAAAATTGGTTAGTATTTATAAGAAGTCAAGTAGTTAAACCTAATTCCACTAGATTTCAGGTGTGCATTTGAGCTGGCTTTGGGTGTGCAACACTGATCTGGAATACCAACCACATGCTAGCCTGCACACTCCAGTGGGCATCGAGTCTTCTTTTAGAAAATCAAAAGACACCCCTACTGAGCACAAGGTTCTGGGTGCATTGCCCAAATCTTGGTGACCCACTCAAATGGCCTTGGGGCTGGTATTGGGGGCATCAGCCTTGTTTTTCAAAATAAATCAATTCCTATACTTATTAATTATCAGGCACTCTCTCTCTGGCCACCGTTATCTGATTCTAAGTAATATACTAATATATAAATAAGATAAAACATATATAATATATAAAACATATATAATATATATCATATATATAAATAATATATATAATATATTATCTTATGTTATTAGTTTGTTAATAATAATTCCAATTAATTTGAAAATAAAAGCTTAGTATAACTTTTATATATATTATAATTGTTACCGCTATATTTGTATGTAATAGCATGATATAAGGAAATAATTTCCAAATATAATTTCTATTTTTTTATGTGGTAAAATAGTCCATCCTAAAATAGTATTGAGGAGTTAGATGGCTTCTTTTATCCCTAAAAACCCAATCTATATGTTTTTAGACTTTTTAATTTTTTAAATTGAAACATTGGTTGTTTATGTCACAAAACAAAATTGATAAACACATATCCAAAGCTAACATATTTTTATTTATTATTTTTTTTTTTTTAATAGGTAGGATATTTATAAATGAAAAATATTTGACACCTCAAAAAACTTTCTATAATTTGACATTTATTGATCTTATCAATAGTGTTAATTTTTATACAAATATTGAGAAGAGAATTAACTCAAATTATACATTTCAACCAACTACATACTCAAATTTCACTATTTCAAGATGTTATTTCATTATAATTTCAATTAGAGAATCTTCAACCCTTATATTTTTTTTATCAAATTATTAATTGATAAAAATTAAAAGGTGAAGCGCTGTAAATTATTATTTTTTCATCAAAATAATGAAAAAAAAAAAAAATGGATAAGAATGAAAGTTATTTTAAAAATTTGATAAAAAGTTAAAGTAATTCATATCAAATCAAAATTTTTATTCAAATTTAAGATCAAATTAGATAAAAAAAAAATTAAAAGAAAATGATTGAAATATTCCAAAACCTTTTTATTCTTAAAGTACTAGATTCGCAAGAAGGATTCCTCTGTCTCTCAATAACCCTGTCTCCCTATCCCAATTCGATTCAACTACTACTTGGATCATATGAGAATCTGAAGATGTGAATAATCTCAAGACATGTCCAATAGCTTTGTGAGTGAAATTGGGATAGAGGGACAGGGCTATTTGGAACAGAAGATTCTTGCACAGAAATTCGTGTGTTCGTGCTATATTCATATTGTATTTTTAGTTTTGAAATTAAAATAAAAAGAATGTGACTTAAATTACTGATTATTAACAGATATATCATTGGGAATTTTTTTTTTATGTTAAATATCCATTTCACTTCACATTTAATAATAAAATTGTAGTATTTTCTTAAATTATAATCTTTAAATTGTCTATTTTTCATAATTAATAAGAAGGTATTGTCAAACTCATGTACCTCGAATTATTAGGTTTATTTCTTTCTATTTTATTACCGACATTATCAAATTGCACTTAAATAAGATTATATATATATTTTTAAATTTAAACTAATAATTTTAAAGTTATAAAATTTTATGCATATTCAACACAGCACTATTCATTACTTCAACTATTTATAATAATATTTTTAAATCTTATACAAGCTCTCGTGCATACGTACGATTACACTCAATTACTAATAAAAAAATAGAAATATAAATTAAATAAGTCATTTTTTTAATATCATTAATTAATTAAAGGTGAGTTCGACGATAATTTCACTGTGATTAGTTTTTAAAACACGTATGTGATAAATGTCTCTTGATTTCTTCGCAGCGAATTTTATTCAACGTGACAAAAAAGACAAACTCGTTAGACCTTTCACCATTCTCGTCCATTTCTCAACTTGGTCAAAAAGGGCTCTACTCATCAAACCTTCATCTTCCATAAATACCAGATCACCTTCCATTGCATTATTCACTCAAAGCCCATAAGGTTAAAAAAGTCAAATCAATCCAAAAAAAAAAAAAAACCAATATAAAAAATATCTGAAAAAATCTCATCCACATCTTCCCTAGTCTATATCTTTACCAGTAGGTTCTTTTTTCCTACAACTAAATCTTTTCCCACTCTGTATGTTGTGAAGTTCTGTACAACGAATGGATTAGAAGGTTAATTGAGCGTGCCCAGATGAGGTAATGTTGACCTATTTGCTCAATTTGACTCAAATAATTGACCCCTAATTCTAACTGTCTGCTCATTAGCAAGAGGAAGAGGACTCCCTTACAGCATTGCTTCCATGGGCTGGCCACCTCAATTTGTACAACAAATACTAACATTGAGGCCATAAATCGCCACGGGCTCAACCAAAGGACGAGTTTAGTCCCTCCATGTTGTCCTCGGGGAACATGGGTATCTAGAACGATTGTTAAAGAGCTCTTGAAAGTGGATTGTTTGATTTTGTGCGCAGGTGAGGGTAGAGAAGAGGATACACCTCCCTTACGCGGCCTTAATCCAAAGGTAGAATGCATGTTATGACAAGGAATTTGCTCGCTGGCTAGCCCGGATTTCTGTTGAACACGTCACGGTTTCGAGAGGAGAGACTGCCCTTTCACCTTGCAGTCAAGAAGAATCCAAATTGAAGGGATTTGAGAGTGTTGGTGGACATAATCAAGGATATTCAAGAAAGCTGGTGATTTTGGAAATTATGAAAGGATACGCATGTCAACACCATCCTTGCACTAGCTAATCTCGAGAAAAACAATACGTTGGCATGTCGTTTCCTTTACTACCCTCTCATGTGTCGAGAAATTTCTTCCAATACAATATCTAAACCTGCCTGAATGATGTTAGTAATGATATATCTTCAGATGAATAATCACCTTGACAAGTCTTTTTTTTTATATATTTAAAATTGGACATTTTAAATAGAGTTTCTTTATAAATATTCTTTTATTTGTATATTATTGCTCTTTTACTTATGAAGATAAATTATGAGCAGGTGTCGATTTATACTGCGCGAACATTTCGGTTACAGGCGGTTAGTGGTTGGAAGGTAAATTCCTTAAACAAGAAATAGCTCGCGGCTCTTTGATGTTTACTAATTTTCCAACAGTGAATGCGAGCGATAGAGAGATTGATATGTTCTTAGGCAATTTCTGGTGCTAAGAGACGGCTAAAGAGACATTGCACACATCGGCAACTAGCATTAACTAGCCAAAATCAGGGTGTTACAACATTGTGGGGACACATTTTGGGTATTCCACGTCGGCCCAAGGGTTGTATAAGCCGAGGTACCACGTGGGCGGGACCATGCATGCCAAATATATAGTGCAAATAATACCTTAGAATCCTGAGATATTTGGATGGGGACTTAGAGTCCTAGATGACACTTCAACAACCTATTTGGATAGAGAATGGAACTCTGAGAAAAGTTCATGCTTAATCTGAATAGTGTGCAGGTTGTGATAGATGTTATCCTTGGTAAAGGACAGAAGTCCCATAAAGTAGACTTCTAGGGGAGTTCGCACTTATGTCACGCCCCACTTCTTTATTACTACGAAGTATTACTAATGTTCATTTACTTAATTCGATTTCAGAGATAACATATGCGGAAATAACCTCGTAATATTCAAACTCGTAAGAAGTGAATAACAATTGTTGCTCTCATTCCGCATACTGATCAAGTATAAAGGTGAACAACGGTATGCCCAGCCTATACGTGTGATCTAAAAGTGTTATGGCCTATGGTTCTATGGTGGTAGAGAGATTCGAAAACCACTATTTGTATATTCATACGATATACACGCAGAGAGACAAGATTTTAAAAAAGGTGATTTGGATCGTTCGAAGCCTCGTCTCCCTCGGTAACAGCATATGCAGTTCCGCCGTGAGTAGAAAGCCACGAGGCGCGCACTATGTGC